ATAGCCTGATTACAAGTCGATGGAGAACATCCAATCTCCTTGGCGAGCGAGGTCCGCTACACGGTTGAGTCCCTCATATTTAAATTTGGGGACGATTAGTGCGTCGTTCACCTTTCGGAGATCCAGAATCAGGCGACACTTGTCTTTCTGCTCGACCACGTTGAGTGGGCTTATGCATCTCAGTTTCGCCACAGGAATTTGGATGGCTGCGCCGGTCTCGGTGAGTTCAAGAATGGCCGTACGCGTGAATGTTTCGTGGATGCGTGCGCTGGCATGGTTGCGATCGTGAAAGGCCGGCGGCGGCCCGAGTTTCCATGGCGTCCGGTATCCTTTGGCAATGACTGAGAGTATGAGACTGCTAGTGCACCACGAGCTCCACCAAGCGAACGTGGTACGTAGGCGGCCACACATTTGGGTGACCGTCTTGTCAGTAACCGCGTATTCGTAGGGGTCACTGTTGTGTGCGCATTCGCGAAGTCGGGTGCCTGTGGGAGTGACGTCACGCAAGGAGAAGCAAGGGACGAATCCTTAAGTTCATCTGCAGGACTGAGGCCTGCCGGAAACCTAGAGTGTGGGGGGGGAGGGGAGTGTGAAGCCTAGTGGCTAAGGAGGGCATGCAGGACAGAGGTGCCACATGCGAGCAAGATGCTTAGGTCGGTGGTTGCCTGCGCTTTGAGCGAATCTGAGCGGCGTGACCTGCGTGTGTGTCGGTTTGCGCGTCCGCGCATGCCGAGCTTGCGTTCGAACTTGCGCCCCGACGTTTGTGCATGAGTTTCCGCTTATTGTCCTTCCCTTTTTGCCCTCATATTCCCACAACTTGTGCCTTCACTCGCGCTTCTACTCGCGAACGCATGTTACCCTCTATTGCCTCTTTCGCTTGCGTTCTCATTTCTTGGGTTTTGAGACTCAACGCCCGTGTTTTTTTCCTGTCTTTCCTCTAGTCACCTCTTGCGTGCTTGTGTGGCATGCGTGCGGTGTTTTTGTTGCTGTTCCCGTTCGTGGGCTATACCACGTGCGTGCGCGCATGCTTCTGTGACCTTTTTTTTTTTACTTTTTTTTTTTTTTCCAATGCCAAGCTGGGCAGCCCTGGATGAGGTTGGTGTGGGTGTTCCTGTATGCCCACGGAGGGGTAATGCTTGGGGTCCAGGGTGTAGCACACCGGGTTGGAGGGTAGGCGCCTCGTGAGGCTTGCATAATGCTTGAATTCTTTTTTTTCTTTTTTTTTGCATGTCCAATCGATGAGCAACTATGTGAGGGTAAGTGGAGGGCCATTGGTGTTCCTGACGGCCTTCCTTCTCTGGCCGGGGGTGTTGCGTGACATGTAGCGAGGGTTGAGCCACCCACTATGCTTCCCCGTTTCGTGCTCGATCCTTTTTTTTTTTTTTTTTTTTTTTTTTTTTTGCTGCGCCTCTTTTGATGCTGCTTCCCCATTTCTCTTGTTATATTTAGGGACCAAGACCTGAAAAAAAATGGAACACCGTGGCTCCTTATTTTAACCAAGCTTCATCTCTACTCAACCACGCTCCTAGGCATGCAAAGTCCGCCTTGCAAGGTCGGGCTATCATTTGGGACTGAAGGGGTATATTCCCCTTCCCTTACTCTGAGCCTAGGGCCTTCAATTGGCCTACACTAGGGCTGGCCCTCTGCCACCCGTGCCCCTAAGGGGTGGGCCCAATGGCCTACGCACACACCGGGTGCCTTGCGCCTTGTGCCACTTGCGCAAGCGCCTATGGCCCGACCCCTACACCACTGGTGCGGGTCCTTGGCCACCATGCCCAATCGCCGGGCAGCCGCTGGCCACATGCCCCGGCTGGCCACAGCGGAAGCAAGTGCCTCGGAAGCCACGGAATTCTCCCGTAGGCGGCGGACCACGCTTTGGCACGAACGGCATGGGCATGCGGCCGCCTCCGCGATTGCCCCGAGCAAACCCGCCCTCGGCGCGATCCATTGCAGCCACGTCAGCGACGGCCTGTTTGAAAGGCCTTGAGGTAAGCAGACTCTTCTGCTGGTACAGCTTGAAATGCTTGGCCGTGCGGAAGTCGGAGGCGTCTTCGACTTGGAGAACTTTGAAGCGTCGCGATATGAGGGCGAGCGCGTCGGCGAGGAATTCGAGGCCGCCCGGCGCGTCGCCGTGCTGCATCTTGAACTCGGCGAGCTTCAGGCATGCTCGAAGGTCCTCCAGGACTTCCGCTTGCTCGCGCACGGCCGTGTTGAGGAAGGACGCCGCCGAGAGGGTGGTGTTAGTGGTCGGGAGTGGTGGGAGGTGATCCATGGGAATTGAATTTGCAGCAATGCCGGGGACCTCACCAGCGTCGTTGTCGGAGTCGTCACTGTCGTTGTCGGTCGCCGGGGCAGGCGGGATGCTGGCGACGGCGTCTTTGGCGAGGCGTGGCGTCTTGGTTCCGCGTGTGGCCTTTTCTGTTTTTGCATGTTCTTTTTTAGCAGATTCAAAAGCAGCAGGTTGAGCAGTTTCGGCGGCCGTAACACTCGTCGCCTGCTGCTGTAACAGCGTCAACAGCGCGTTGACCTGCGCAGGGGTCAACGACGGGGTCAATGTCGGGGTGGGCGGCACGTCAGACGAGGCAGCCGCGCGCCCCCTTTTGCACTGGCGAGAAGGACCCGCCACTTGCGGGGCTGGCGCGTGCTGCTGCTCGGCGTCAGGCGCGAGTGGCTGGCTCTGCTCAGCCACTTGCGCGTGTGGCTCGGAAGGGGGCGGGGGCGCGTCAGCAGGCTGATTGTTGACCTCGCCCCCTCCCAGCAGAACGTCAACCCCAGTTGGGGCAGCCGCCCCTTCTTCTGCCCAACGCTTGTTGCGCCGGTCGTCCGCAATTTCCGAGGCTTGGCGAGTAGACTCGGAATTGGGGTGGCCGGTGACGACGTTGGACTCGCCGCGATTATTCGTAGTCGGAGCCATGACGGATCGGTGAAACTTAAAAATATCGGAAAGAAGAGTTGAGGGAGATTCACCACGAGGCAAAGTTCTAGTCTTAGCCAGCTTGAACGGGAGAAAAGCTCGAGCGAGAAAGTTGACTGAGCCGTTTGAAAAATGAGAGACGTGGGTGGAGGTAAATGAGCTCCAACCACGTATATGTAGTTGGAGAAGGGCGAGTAGCGCGCTTCGATGATGCCCAACGCTTCAGTACAATCAGCTTCACTTTCACAATACACAATTTTTGAAAAACACTGCGTGTGTTAAAAATTTATAATATCAAAACGCATGAGGGTCCCTCATTCCACTTACCCAACTCGCATTTGACTGCCACAGGCACCTGAGTGGCAGTGAGGGCCCTGAGAGCGGCAGCACCGAGGGAAGGCATGGGGAGTGGGGGGCAGCAGGTGAGCATTGACGGAAAGCACGGGCGTGGGGAATGAGTAACCCACAGACTTGGAGCACATGGGAAACGGAGACAGCAAAAGCACATCAGGTGAAACAAGTTGCTGCGCGCAGCAAGAAAGTCCCAGCTGGGAGGGTCTTGAATTGAAAACTTGTGTCAAACGGCGCAGAAACTCTGCTCTGCTCACAAAAGGCAAACTCACCGGTGCGTCAACACGTTGTGCCGGGCAGTGCGGCTCATGCCACTGCCAGTAGCCTTCAGAGCAGCCGGCAGCACGGACGCCCCCCGCACTTGGGGGTGCGGTAAAACGAGAGCTTCTTGCACATGAAGTTGCCCCCGCCATCTGCGCCCCACTGAACCTTTACGTTTGCGCCCTTGGGGAAGCGTGTGCTGGCGGGTGGGAAGCGGCTGCAGAGTTGATAGTCGAAGAAGACGGTATTGGAAGCTCCCGATGGGCCCGTGAAATAGAGCTCCGTGTACGCCATGGCGAAGGGGTTCTGCGGCGCGAAGAACTCGGACGCGCTGGCCTGTAAGATGAAGCCGCCGCGGCCGCCGCCACCGTCGCCGCCCCCGCCGCCGCCCATCGTGATGATCGCAACGAAGCCCGCTGCGGGTGCGGCGGCGAGGCGGCGAGCTCCGAGGGCGGATCGCCTGCCGCGAAGGGATGACGGCCTGCACGCCATCAGAATTATGGCGTGCATGAAAGGAGATGGGGAGAAGAAAGCAAGTAAGCAAGCCATAGCGAGGCGAGACACGACGAAAGAAGTGAGAATCTCGAGGGATGGTGGACGAACTCTAGAGACGGGGAACGAGGGAAGCTAGAAGCTCGAGAAATGGTGACGGAAGGAGAAAACGGGGGGGACTTAAGTGCTGAGGGTGAGAGTGCGTCGAGCTCAACTCAGGTACACGAGTGAGAGTGAGAGTGAGTGAGAGTGAGAGTGAGAGTGAGTGAGAGTGAGAGTGAGTGAGAGTGAGAGTGAGAGTGACTGAGAGTGAGTGAGAGTGAGAGTGAGAGTGAGTGAGAGTGAGTGAGAGTGAGAGTGAGTGAGAGTGAGAGTGAGTGAGAGAGAGTAGGAAAGAGAGTCGGAGAGAGCATAGAATTCACGATTCGAAGCTGGATGATGGTGTGGCTGGAGGGAGCCCGCCAATGGCATGGCATATCGCCCTCAACAGCGCCGAAAGGAAGAGGCCGTGCGCGTTTGGAACACGTTTGTAACGCGTACGGAACGCGTTGGGAACGCATTTGGTTTGGGCTGCGAGTATATTCTCGGAGTTAGGAGGTCGTGTGAACGCGCACGCCTGGTAATAGTTCCTCTGGACGCCATGCGCGTTTGGCGAACGCCTCGCGGTACCACATCATCCCCAGCGAGGGGACTCACGACCATATCGGGCTAACGACCACGCCCGAAAGGCCCGCAATGCTCAGAAGGCGCGGGGAGCTCAGCAGGAATTCGGCCAAGGACGGATGAATGACCCCGGCTTTCCAACAGACGCGCAGAACGTGATAGGCGCCCCCTTCAGAGGTGGAATGTGTGTGGGTTGCTCGGCTAGCTGTCGTATGGAAACGCGAAGAGGCCTTGAACGCGACACACAAGACCATTGATCGAAGAGTGGGATGTGGGGGGATGTTGGGTTGGTTTGATTGCGGTCGCAGCGATCATTGTTGCGTCGTTTCAATCCATAACGATCTACTAAAGCACACTTAGTGCTTTCACTTCAATGTTATATACAACACCCTAATAGCCCTCTACGAATGTCTTAAAGAGCTTCAGAACATTCTCCCTAAAGCATGCCAACGGGAGATACAGCTTTCTCTTCCATATCCGCATTCCCATTCCCACTGCTTCCACCATCTCCCCCTGAGTTCTTATTTCTCCCCCCCACCAGCCTTCCCGCCAGCCTTTGAACAATCCCCGTTTTACTCACCACCTTCACAAGGAAAAACGCCAGCCTAAACGGCGCACCAACAAGCGGCGAATCAATCAGCGACACCACGTTTTGCTCAGCAACCCCAGCTCTCCCTGCCACAGCCACAGCACCCGCACCACCTCCAGCAGCCACCGCACACCCACTTTCTTCCACCATCACCTGTGCCCTTCCATCCCCTACTGTCCCATTATCTACAGTCACAGCTACTACGTCAACCTCTCCAGCCACCCGTCCTGCTGCTGGTGTTGCAAGGTCATCTCTATTACCGTGAGCTACGGGCCAGATGGCAGGATAGCGGCTGGTAGACTCTGCCAGGGTAGGTGTTGGCCGCTGCGCACAGAGAGCCCCGGAGGGGGGAGGAGCATCGCGCACTACAGGCAGGAGAGAGGAGGGCTGAAGGGAGGGTGGGGGGAGATTGGAAGGCTGAAGGGAGGGTGGGGGGAGAGAGGAAGGCTGAACGTAGGATGGGAGGAGAGAGGTGGCATCAGTTGCCAGTGAGGAGGAGGATGAGTATGCAGAACGGATCACAGTAGAGCTGCCCTCTGCTGTGAGTTGACCACCCCTAGAACTGCCTGAAGCAGCAGCAAGCGAGGTGTCTGTAGCAGCACGCAAAGCACTGTCCACAGCAGCAGGAAACGGGCCAGAGGAGTGCAGAGCAGCGGGGAGAGGAGATGGAGACCTGGACGACTCGTCCTGACTATCCTGAGGAACAGGGACTCGCATTCGGGAGCCAGCAACACCCGCTGCAACTGCTGCTTGGGCCTTTGATCCCAGTGAGGAAGCAGCAGGGGTAGAGAGAGAGGAGGTGGGGAAGGAGAGATGGGAGTGTGTGGAGGAGGAGGAGGGCGACCTATCTTCTGCTGCTGCTGCTCCTGCTGCTGCTCTTGCTCCTGCTGCTGACGTGGCATGAGCTGGCAGTGGCTGAGTGAGCACATGTGACAGGCTGGCAGCAGTGAGCGGATGCAGAGAAGAAAGAGGGCTTTGGTGTGGGAGCATGGGTACCCCAGAGGAGCTTCTTGGGATGCTGGTCTGCAAGGTGGTAACCAGATTGGTTACAAGCAGCTTCTGCTCGTTGACCTGCAGACACACACAGGAGCATGGAAAACAGCGATGAGAGAAAGCGAGTGTAGTGTCAACAGCAAAGGGAGAGAGGGAATGAGCAGAACCAATACTCCGCTCCTCCAATCAGAGCCCACCGAAGGGATAATAAGCAGATCACTCCGCTGAGCGACTCTCACTACGTCCAATGCTCCAGTTGCGGGAAACTAAGGGCGAGCAACGCACCTTCAGTTCAGCACCCAGCATTTGTTTCCGCTTTTGAGCACACCTGCTGCACCAGGCACGCATTCTCCTCCATGAGCTTCTCAACGCCAGCAGCAGCAGCCCTCCCTACCATGCTGTGCCCAGCAGCAGCCCTCCCTACCATGCTGTGCCCAGCAGCAGCCCTCCCTACCATGCTGTGCCCAGCAGCAGCCCTCCCTACCATGCTGTGCCCAGCAGCAGCCCTCCCTACCATGCTGTGCCCAGCAGCAGCCCTCCCTACCATGCTGTGCCCAGCCTGTTCTAGGCAAATACCAAAGTATGGCCTGGGCTCAAAGTCACCTGCTGCACCAGGCGCGCATTCTCCTCCACGAGTTTCTCCACAGTCACAGCAGCAGCAGCAGCAGCAGCAGCAGCAGCAGCAGCAGCAGCAGCAGCAGCAGCAGCAGCAGCAGCAACAGCAGCAACAGCAGCCAGAAAGCCCTCGAAAATGACCTGGGGCGGCTCAAAAAGCACCTGGTTTACAACCCACCTGCTGCACCAGGCGCGCATTCTCCTCCATGAGCTTCTCCACAGTCGCAGCAGCAGCCCTCCCTGCCTGCCCTACTGCTCCCAGCATGTTGGTGCGTATACCAGAGAGCATGGGCTTTAACCCACCTGCTGCACCAGGCGAGCATTCTCCTCCACGAGCTTCTCCACAGTCGCAGCAGCAGCTGCTCTCTCCACCCTGGCGTCCTCCGCTGTCTCCAGCACACGCTCCATGGCACTGGGATCACCGCTGAACCACCGGTTCCACCCCTGTTTCATGAGGGATACAAGCACACATGTCGTCAATGCTGGGTGCCCCTCCACTCCAGCCTCCCCTGCTGTCTCCATGGCACTGGGATCACCACTGAACCATCGGTTCCCCCCCTGTTCAGACAAATGCACAAAGACAGTTATAGCCAATGGAATACGTTACGTGCTCTCTCACACTGGCGTCCTCTGCTGTCTGCAACACTCGCTCCATGGCACTCGGATCACCGCTGAACCACCGGTTCCACCCCTGTACGCCAAGACACTCCATGGTACAGAGGTGGTAGAACATGCAATTTTCTTCCACTCTAGCATCCTCTTATGTCTCCTGAACCTAGAGTCACCGCTGAACCACCTCTTCCATCCCTGTCATGGCAAAGGACACAGGCATAGAAATGCCCATGTCAGATGCCGCACTGCTTTCGCCAACACATTGCACTGGGATAGTGAAGCAGCCAATGTGAATCAAAAGTGAACCAATTACTGCATGCTGCATTCCTTTACACCGGACAGCACCGCATACGTTAGGATGCATGGCCATGCTTGTACACTCTCGCCCGGAGCCGAGTACCCCGTGCAGCATCCCTCAGCACCGCAGACCTTGAGCCACCTACGTACCTTATGCTGGGTCACCATAGTGGCTTCTGCTCTCGTGCGGCTCCTGATGGACGCCTCTCGCTCCAGCTGCTGCATCGCCGTGTGCACCGCCGCCAGTCGCGCTGACAGCCGCCGCCTCTCGCCCTCCAGGCGGTCTGATTTTTCCCGCAGGCGAGTTACCTGTGGGGGGAATGGCATGCGCGAAAGCGATTTCGAGTTAGCGCCAACCGCAAAATCGCGTTGACAGCCGCCGCTTCTCGCCCTCTAGGCGGACAGATCTCTCCCGAAGCCGCGTTACCTGAGAGGAAGGGGGAGGAGGGAGGAAGGGGGAGGAGGGAGCGAGGAGCGGCGGGGGGCAGAGGGGTGACGGGGCGGTGTGAAAGAGATACGGGGGCACGGAGGGTGGCACGGAGGGTGGCACGGAGGGTGGCACGGAGACGGCACGGGCTAGCGAGAAACCAGAAGAGAGCTTGTCAGAGCCGACATGACATGACGGGGAGTCAGGAACGGAGGAAGGGAGGGAGACACGAAAACGACGGCTCTTGATGAAACCCTTCGCGTCGATCGATACAATCAACGAAGCCTCGCTGCAAGCCCAGCAATATGTCGTTAATGCAGGTTATTTTCGAGTAGACTCAAAAATCACCTATGTCGTTGACGTAGCCAGTATGTACCTCAAAACAGAAACGAAATAGCTTCGCCTGCACTGCACGCTCGAACGTTGGCCTGGCCTCCCTCAGCCGCACGAGCTCTACCTGAGATTCTATTTCTAAGGCGCCTAAAAAAAAACAGAATCGAAACAGACTCGCCTGCATTGCACGCACCTCGGCTTCCAGTCGTACGTTGGCCTCCCTCAGGCACACGAGCTCCAGCTGCAACTGCGATTGATACAAGTGTCGTTCTGAGGCGTCTCAAACCTACAATTCTACCACCAGCACGCACCTCCGCTTCGAGCCGCACGTTGGCCTCCCGCAGTCGCACGAGCTCCACCTGCGAGTCCGGGCCAAAACGGGCAGGAGAGAACCGAGCCACGGGATTCGTCAGATGCGAATGGGCGAACAGGCGGATGAGAGGAGCTAAAACGGAAGGAAATGCGTGAAGAGCAGGGAAACGAAGGGGGTGAGGTCTGGCTGAATTCAATGACACTGGGGAACGGAAGAACGGGAAGCCAGTGATAGAGCAATGATGCATCACTCATACAGCAATGATAGAGCATAGCGACAGACGCGTTTTGGGGTGGAGACTTGTCGAAATGGAACAATCTACTCTATGCGCGCAGCTCACAAGGTTAGTGAAGTCGTCTGTTGCGCGTTGTTCCCTTCGTCTGCTCCAAAACGCTGCCGCCAAGTCATCCTTGGTCTCTAATGACGGGCCGTTCCTAGCACGGCCCCTGCTATACTTCGCAGCTGCTTCATTAGTAGCTTCTCCTTTACTAGCGGCCGCTTCAATAGCGGCGGCTTGTCTCGCGGCTGTTTCCACATGAGCTAGCAGATCCGCGGATCCTCGCCGTGACTGCAACATTCTTTTCGGGCTGCCCGCAGCTGCCGAGCCGGGTCGTCGTGTGTGCATGCTTTTTTTCGGGCTGCCCGCGGCCGAGTGAGAAAGAGAGCCAGACGAAGTCGAAGGTGAGATGGCCGCATCGCTCAGATGCGCGATCAGAGGCGTGATTCGCGGACGAGAGTGTGACCCGTATGTACCTGATATAAGCATGTCGTTTCTAGACAAATCTCCGCGAGACTCTAACGCGGCTGCTCCCAGGCTGAGCCTCTTGGCTCTTGCCAGAAGATCCAAGTCTGTAATAATAGAAGATTCGTTTCCGTCAGAGCTCCGCCAAGTAGCGGGCCCCGGACTGCTGCCGCTAGATCCGTTACCGTCACCGTCACCGTCACCGGCGTCGCTACTCGTTTGGCTCGCTGCCTTGTTCCGTCGTCTTTCATTCTGAGGAGACTCACAGTCCCGTTGGCAATCCACTGCAATTTCCGCGAGCGACGACGTCGGGTGCTCAACCTGCTTGCTCGTCGCTGGAGCCATGCTCTTCTGTGTTCTTCGAGGAATGTTTCAGAGGAATGTCTGCATGGCATAAGGAAGGGCGTTTTGCCCTTGGTAAGATTCTTGAATGATGAGACTCGGGAATCCGAGGAACTCCTACTGCTCGCGTCACGTCCGCTGCTAATGTACTGCAGTTTCGGCGAAAGTCGTCGATTGCACGACCCCGTTGCTCGTCGCTGGGGCCATGGCTGGTGCGATGCGGAGCGGAAGAGAATATGAAAAAAAGAATGGGGAAAAAATAACCAGGCTTTAAACTTTCCCCTGGGTTACTACGCGATAGTATTCTTCGTCACCGTTCCAGCCAACAGTGAGGCATGCACATGCACCTAGACTAGGACGAGGGAGCCTGCCTCCTACAGAAGTCTGGTAATGGCAGTTTCCTTACTTCCTACTTCCTGCTCGAGTCAGGAGCTTCGTTAGGTTGGGGTAAGCTCAAGGGTGATGAGGGACGTTGCTTTGTGACGTGATGTGATGTGAGCCGTCGATCCGATGCCTGTCACAGATATTGATCGCCCAGTGCCCGAGGTGTGGTTTCGCAAAAGCGCCCACCCAGCCACCCACCACCAGAGAAGGGTTGATCGAAGATAGCGGGGGGCGCGTTTCGTAATCAGCGGATTGTGTGATATTTTCAGCTGAATTTGCAAGGCAAGCCATACCTTGAGTTCGAAACGAGGTTCAGCTATGTGAGACTCCGTCCAATTGACAAATTCTTCACAGGACATTATCTGGCCGTAACATTGTAGGTTACCACAAATGAAATCTCAGCCAAGGCTGTCTGCAAACAACAAGCCCTTCACTATGAGGCCCATGTGTGTGACCCTCAGATCTAGCGAGCAATCAGGGTAACCCTCCCCAGACGAGTTGTCACCTCACATCCCATCTGGCGGGACAGTAGCAGCGGCTCGTCAGTCTTCGTTACAGGAAAATTGGAGAAAACTTCAGAGAATACAGATCCACAGAATACATGCACTGCTCTACGCAGTAGATGTACTGCACTGCACTCCACTACTCTGCACTGTTCATCTTGCTGCCAACAAGATTCTCATGTCATTCTAGCATCAAATGTCGGTAGTGACGTCCACGCGAAATCCTCATCCAATTAAGCTTGGCACTTCGAAGTGGTCCAAGTCGAATCTTCTCACGCACTAGCCTGAAAAGTACCGTACAAACACAAAGCCCAGATTAATTCAACTGACACGTAACACTCGTCCCTACATACAGCAAAGCAGGAGAGGAAGACCATGAAATGAACATCTCACCAGCGAGTGAGACATCGTTGAAAAGCAGCAGACGTCGGTCGGACGTACATGGGGTCCCGTTGCTGGTACAGCAACCCCACCTGATGGAAGTCACAAACCATGTGGAGGTCACAATACAAACATGGCATGGTGATTATGCATGTTATAGCACAGGCGAATTGAAATCCCGAAGTGGCACAATCATGGCAAGTGGCAAAAGAATAATATTTAACTCATCCAGGAGGTCTACGAGAAAGAAAAATAAAAAAAGTGATTATGCGACTGTAAGAATCAACTGAAAGGCATCGGTACAATCAAGCTGGGAATGGCTACTTACTTTGAGCAATGCAACAGCTGCCGGATCCTCCATAAACTCCTCGCCTGAATCTTTGCCATAATTCACCTGTAAAAAGTTGAACAAAAATTAGAACCACCAACCACTCCCTCCTACCTTCACCTTCAACTGCGCTTCCTTTTTGAAACACAAGAAACACCACAATTTCTTATTGAAGATAATTGTGAGTGATGACAGCGCCACACAGAGTGCATCATCATCAGCCGCAGCGCAGCACCACTTACCCCGAATTCAGCATTCGCCAGCGCATGAATGAAGTCCATCATCTGAAGCCGCGCCCACTCCCTCACCCGGAGTCGATACTCCCCCCTCTCCTCCTGCTCCTCCTCCATCCACCTCTCCTCCTCCTCGTCCTCCTCCGTCTCACTCTTCACTCCCCATTCCCGCTCGCTAGATTCCGCTTGTGATGATTCTCGTCTCGTTTGCCCCTCTCCTCGAACTACGCCATACCCAGATTCTGGGGTCCACTTCACTCGATCTCTTCCTCTCCCCCTCCTAAGCTCCGACCACCACCTCCCCCACACGCCTGGGGGGTTGTTCCAGGGGCTGCCGAACCTAGCCGCCCACCGAGGCTGCTCTCCCAAAGCTAGCTGTTCTCCGAACCTTTCTAGATGGGTGAGTGCTGCTTCCATGGCCGGTTCCACCTCCGCTGCCTGTGCAGAAAGAATCAAGGCAGAAAGGTATCGAGGAGGGATGAGAGAATACGAGAGATGGGTGAGTGCTGCTTTCATGGCTGGTTGCACCTCCGTCGCCTGTGACCAAAAACATGAAGGCGGCAGGGAAGAGAATGGCGGAGAAGGGAGAAAAAAAGGGAGTGATCCACACAGGTACCCATGCGATCAAGCACATCCATCACTTATGATATTAGCATATACACGCATACATAACACACTTACATCGGTAGGTGAGAGCACACACCACACACACATACATAGGTACGTGGGTGTACACACCACACAGACATACATGGAGGTAAGACAGGAAGTGGTCCACACAGTTATCCACCCAATCACAATGAATGCACCCATACATGCACCCATACATGCACACATACATGCACCCATACATGCACCCATACATGCACCCATACATGCACCCATACATGCACCCATACATGCACCCATACATGCACCCATACATGCACCATACATGCACCCATACATGCACCCAAACATGCATCCAGACATGCACCCATGCATGCACCCATGCATGCACCCATACATGCACCCATACATGCACCCATACATGCACCCATACATGCACCCATACATGCACCCATACATGCACCCATACATGCACCCATACATGCACCCATACATGCGCCCATACATGCACCATACATGCACCCATACATGCAACCATACATACACCCATACATACACCCATACATGCACCCATACATACACCCACACATACACCCACACATACACCCATACATGGCACCCATACATGCACCCATACATGCACCCATACATACATCCATACATACACCCATACATGCACCCATACACACACCCATACATGCAACCATACGCACACCCATACATATACCCATACATGCACCCATACACGCACCCATACATATACCCATACATGCACCCATACACGCACCCATACACGCACCCACACATGCACCCATACATACACCCACACATACACCCCCATACACGCACCCACACATGCACCCATACATACACCCACACATACACCCCCATACACGCACCCACACATACATACATACATGACGGTAAGCGAGATAGTGGTCCGCACACCTGTCCACTCGCTTACAGTCATTTCTTACACATCCACCCAGCCATACAAGCACCCACACAAATATGCACAAACACACATACACACGTACATGCAAGTAAGCCAGGTAGTGGTCAATGCAGTTATCCACTCGCTCCAACTCGTCCTCCTCCTCTGCTCCTGACCACCCGTTCCACAGTGAATGAAACTCTGCCAGGTGGCGGGGGTTGGAGCCAATCACAGCGGAGACCATCTTCCACTGCTCTGGGCCGGGGGGAGGAGGAAATGGCAGGGGGGGAAGGGGGGGGGGGGGGGAGTAGACATGATCAAAAAGCGATTGCGATTTAAATCGCATCGCATGCAGGTGCGATGTTTAAAAAAGCGATGCGATTTTAAATCGCATCGCGCGATTTATTTTCCAAAAATAAAAATAAAAATCGCACATCGCATTTTACCCGCGATGTATTAAAAAATCGCATGCGATATTTAATTCAATCGCGCAATGCGATTTTAAATCGCATCGCGTTTTAAAACATAATTAAAAAACACCCCAAAAAAACAGGAAAAAAACATGGCTGTGGGGAAATTGACTCACGGGCAGTCGTAAGCTAGAATGCAAATAACCAGTGTGGTTTCGTAGTGGGTTTCAGAGTGAGTTTCAGTGCAATATCGCGCACGATTTTTTAAAATCGCATATCGCATTTAAATCGCGTTTTTTAGCGCGATTAAAATGCGATTTATATTAAATCGCGCGATGATTAAAAAAACAAAACAAAACAAAACAAAACATCGCCATCGCAAAAACGCGATTAAATGCGATGCGATGCGATTTTTTTTTCCCATCATGTCTAGGGGGGAGGAAGAGGGGGAGTAGAGAGGGTTATCGGGGGGGGGTGCATTGGGGGCATGGGGGAGAGAAAAAGGCGTGAAATTTTGAGGCACCTCAAAAGTCGGGGGGGGGGGGGGGGGGAGTAGAGAGGGTTATCGCGGGGGGGCATCGGGCATGGGAGAGAGAAAACGGCACTAAGGGGAGATCCGTTTTGAGGGGGGGGGAGATCAACAACGTCTGATAGCACCTTCTATAGTGCAGAGCCATGGGGGACAGGGGAGAAGGGCGCAGGAGAGAGTGAGGGCGATGGTGATGGGGGCGATCTAGGGTGTGATCCTTCCAAGTGCTCAAAAAATACTTCTTTTGAGGCCTCATTCCAAGTGCTCAGAAAAGAGGAAGATTACCTGGAGGGGAGTGAAGGTAGAGGGCACTAGGTGCACGGATGCTTCCTCTGGCAGCCAGCCAAACAGCTGCATGGGGGGGGGGGAGAGAGAGGGGGAGGGGGAGAGGGAAGGGGGGAAGTGGATGGTGCAGCAAGGCAAAAAAAGTGTTTCAAACGACAGTTAAGAACACGTGAAAGAGAGTGCCATAAGGAAAAATCAAAACAAAATATAAAACCTGAGAAAGAGGAGCAAGCAGTATGCATGTGCAAGCAACAAGCCCAGCAAGCAACAATAGTGTGGGAACAGGAGCAGGAGCAGGAACAGGAGCAGGAGCAGGAGCAGCAGGAGCAGTAGCAGGAGCAGGAGCAGGAGCAGCAGGAGCAGCAGGAGCAGCAGCAGAAGCAGGAGGCGAATACACACTGACCTCATGTGGGTGGAAAAGGGCCTGGGTGCCAAAGTCAGCGAATAACTGATCCGAGTAGTAACTGGATCATGTACCAGGGGATGAAGAGGGGAAGTGGGGAGGAAGAGGGGAAGGGGGGGGGAGGAGAGCAAGGCTGGATGGAGTAAAGAAATGAGGTGCGATTGAGGGGACGAAAACGGGATGGGTGCCACCATGCCAAAGTCAGCCGATACTTGATCCGAGTAGTAACAGCATCAGGAGAAGGGGGGGGAGGGGAATGAGGTGAGGTGCATGGAGCGGGAAGGAATAAGGCGGCGAGCAAAACCGCAGCACACAAGAAGGGGATTGAGCTGAGCGGGGTATCAAGAGCCCATGCGAGGCCGCGCCTGTGAGGCCGCGATTGAGAGGCTAGCCCTACAAACACTGGTGCATCTCTGCACTGCACATACCTGTCGGAGGAGGAGAGAGAGAGGCACCCTGGGTGCGTGGCAGTGACCGTGCGAAGGCGGAGGAGCAAGGCATCGTGAAAGTCCACACCCTCACACATGGTTGGTTGGTGGCTCCCCCCTGTATCAAACCAGCCCACTTGTTGTGGACAGGCTTCCTGTCAACCCTGCGCGCACCTGTCAGAGGAGGAGAGAAGCGCCCTGGGTGCAGCCTCCCTTCCCGTGGCTGTGGCCGTGAGGAGGCGGAGGAGCAAGGCATCGTGAAAGTCAGCCCCTTCACACATGGTTGTTGGGGCCCTGTTCGCTGCTTCTGACGCTGCTGCTGGTGCTGGTGCTGGTGCGGGTGCTGGTGCTGCTGGTGCTGGTGCTGGTGCTGCTGCTGGTGCTGGTGCTGCTGGTGCTGGTGCTGCTGGTGCCGGGAAATCTTGCAATGTAGGTGGCACATGACCGGATGGCACATGACCGGATGGCGCATGACCGGATGGCGCATGACTGGATGGCGCATGACCGGATGGCGCATGGCGCAGCACGTGGAAGCCATTAATGACGAGGATGGGATGGAAGGGCTTGTGCCGCCACCGCAGCTTGCTGCTCTTCCTGGTGCCTCCCGCCAGCACCAGCAGGTCAATCAACAACCCACTCCACGCTATAGCCGCCTCCGCATCCCCCCGTCTCCAATCTCCACCCTGCCCTCCGAGCCTCCACCGCCGAACCTCCTGTATCCGAAGCAGCTGTTTGGCTAGGCACAGGCTTGCGATGACTGAAGAGGCAGGTTCGGCAGCGGTGAGAGCAGGTTGTTGAGCGCCCTTTGGACCGGCGTGAGGAGAATTCAACTGGCCGTTCCATTTTTGCTCTCTCCCCCCTTGCGCCCCTTGCGCCCCTTGCGCCCCTTGTCCCCCTTGCCCCCCTTGCTCCTCCTCCGCTTCCTGTGCCCACGCCATTGATAAGAGCTCATCTCTGCCAAAAGCACTCTCCATAGAATCACAGCCCTGCACCTGCTCCTGCAACCAACGCTGCACCAGTCGCCAGCATTCCTCCCAAAGCTCCTCAGCTCCCTTCCCCTCACCCCTACCTTCTGCCTCCTCCCTTTTTCTCCCCGCGGATCCTCCCACCCCCCCAGCAAGAAGCGTCTCTAGGGAAATTTCCACGTGCACCCGCCGCTGCAGTGACTGTAGCAGGTCGTGTGACTGTAGACGCCTCTCTTTAATAGCACGCAGCACGAGCGATTCAAGAGCTGACTCGATGTCTCGCCGAAGAGAAGACACCTGCGGCTGAGAGGGTGTGACTGTAGCAGGAGGTGTGACTGTAGGCGTGAATGTAGGCAACAGAGGAGGAGGAAGGGTCCAGGAAGGCAACCGTGGGATTTCCAGACCATGTGCATTGGGAGGCGACGAGGCCAGGGGTGAGGTTTGGTGAGAGGCTTGGTGAGAGGTTTGGTGCGAGGTTTGGTACGAGATTTGGCTTGGAGTTGGAGTAATTTGGCTTGATGGAGGGCTTGTGGGGAAAGAGTGCGGTGACAAGGGGTGCTGCAGTGTGCAGTGCGGTGGCGAGGGGGGAGCGAGATGCCTTTCCAGGTCGACATAAGCAACTGGAGCACCGCTCTTAACCCATCCGTTCACCAGATCTTCTATCAGGCTTTTCTTCCCCACGCCCCTTGGCCCGTGCACCACCACGACCCTTCGAGGAAGCCCCTTCCCCGATAACCGCACGCCCACCTCCAGCGCGGGTCCCCCCAGCAGCTTCCCCCACCCAATCTCCCCCTCCGCCACTCCCCCGCCCCCCGCCACGGCTCTCCGCACCACCTCCCGCGCGGCTGGCCGCGAGATCCAGTTCCATGCTGCCGCGGCTTCCGCGCACCGTGATCCTTCCGCGCGTGCAGATCCTTCCGCCCTTGGTGCTCCTTCCGCCTGTGCTGATCCTTCCACGCCGGGTGATCCCTCCGCAAGTGTCGATACTCCCGCGTAGGAGGATTCGTTTACGGGTGGAGCGGAAGCGGAACAAGCGGAAGCGGAGCTAGCGGAAACGGAGACGGCTCGGACTATGAGATCCCTAAGAAAAGGCGAAGTATGGCTCCCTTGCACTAATGGTCGCCGCATGGTCTGCGCGCTATCGCGTAGCGGTATCCTCTAGGTTGATCCCAGCGAAGCGTTGTAGTTCAGATCATCCGAATTCTACGAGTATCTCGCGTCTACGTAGCAGGGCGGTTCCGACATCCTCCTTGTGAGTGGGCGCGGCAGATATGGTAAACAATTTCGGAGGGGGTGTTACATGCGTTTTAGAAGGGTGTTATGGGTTCTAGAACGATCTATTTTACAGACAGTGGTTGGGCAGGTTTCTGAGCGGAAGGTTTATGATGCCCTGGGATCCTGAGGTGTCACGCAATCCTCTCCTTTCAATACGCCCTCAATCGAATTTAGCATATCTACTCAATAAATAATGGATATGGATTGTAGCTATCCTCAATAACGAATAACGAATGCGTCCTAAGAGAGATTTCGGCAGGCCAGAATGCACCGATTTTCGCTGACTTCGAGAGAAACTTTCCCTCTCCCTTTTCGTCCAGTTTCCGTCACCACTTTCCACGTCCCTCCATTTTCTCACCACGCGCCAGGTCTCCACGCGGAATGGAGATGCTGCTTTGCCAGTTGTGAAAAATGTCGTGTCGCACGTCTTGAAAAAGGAACCCAGAATTTTCAAGCAGAACAGGCCAATGTGGTCCCTGCGCCGTGCGTCAGATGTTTCCCCATTCCTTGATCCCTGCCGTACAAGTCGACAGAGCACTTTTTGACACCGAACTGTACGAGGTGCAAGGTTGACGCTAGGGCTGTTTATAAAATTAAGGGCAATCGGTATAAGGGCTACTCTATCTGGTACGTTTCATTTACCCTTGAATAGCGAGAGATGTTGATTTTGTTGCCCCGCTGACGGCTAGGACTGCTTCCGCTTTTGACAGGTCATCCAATTCCGCGGAAGATCTCGTTTCTCTTTCTTCCGCCATTTCAGTTGGAAGCAGGGCCTATTTTTCAAGAGTTGTTGCCCTGAATTTGAGTCAAATAAAAGACATGTTTTCAGCTAGTTCCACAAATTAAGGGTTGGTTTTTTATAAACTTGGCGGATTAAGGGTTTATTTGGATTGAAATCATATAGATTAAAGGCATAATATTTTCTTACCCCGAGTGTACTACTAGTTCTGGTAGGGGTACAGGGGGGATTTCCATAGGAGGAACAACTCGGAAGATTTTCGTTGTTTCCCCCTCACAGCACGTAGTCACTCCCTTCGAATATTTCCGTCCATCTCCCCTGACATCATGTTACTCAAACCTCGTAGTCACAAACAGTGGGGAGACAACTCCCTTGGTAGATTTTCGTTCTCCCCTCACACCACGTTACTCACACCTCGTAGTCACAGAGGGGAGACAACTCCCTTAGTAGATTTTCGTTTTTCTCCCCCCGCAGCACGTTACTCACACCTCGTAGTCACAAGCAGAGGGGAGACAACTCACTAAGTGGTTTTTTGTCATTTGTCCCTCACTGTCCCATGCACATTACTCACGCCCTTTTCGTCTTGCCCATACATTTCCTGGTAAATTCTAACTGTGGCAGTGAAAAGAGTATTGGGCGAACGAGCCCTAATGATTATAGGTTGCCTTTTGCAGGACCCTGAGAATTAAGAGTAAAGTCTCAAGAAACCCGATTCTTTTAGGGTGACTAAAAATCAAAAGTAAGCCCTGGTTGGAAGTGCCAACAGGCATGGCATGCCAACTAGGAAACGGAGGGAGGTTGGGCTGGTTTTGGATGGTTGCTTGGAACTTGGGATCTGTACTCTAGGGTGGGGAGAGAAGAGAACCTCTTCGCCTTCCTGTCTCATCATCCCCCCCTCACTTCTGCTTCCAACATCTCACGAACACTCTCACTCTCATTCTTCAGGACAGCAGTGCATGCCATGATTTCCTCGTGATCCTTTCCTGCCATGGCGGCTGATCCGGCGCATCCCCTCACACCGACCCAGCCTTCCAGTCAGGTCGATGCGCACAAGCGCCATCCGCACACGCACGCGCAGACAACAGCACAAGCCAAACCGCACGCCATGGCGCACAGTAAAACCCGATTCGAAGCTCTCAAGCTCCAGCCTCCGTCTCTCCCCGCCGGCGCTTCCCCTTCCCTTTCCCCGTCCGCCGCCGCTTCCCCTTGTGACGGGCCCGTTCCCGCTGCCGCCGCTTCCGCCATGAAACCCGCCGCGGAGCCCGTGCTGATTGTGGACAAATGGCGGGCTGCGATTCGCTGTTCCAGCCATGGCGCGGCGGACGCGCTCGGGTGCTCCGCGGAGAGACTGGCCGACGGCGCAAGTATTTACGAGCTGGCGGATGGAATGGACGCAGCTGATTGGTCGAACGCTGTGGGGTCCCTGTCGCTCGGCGCGCTGTGGTCAGCCATCGAGTGAGTCCGCTTTTTTCTGCTCCTTCGCTAACACGTCGTCGCGCCTTTCTTTCTGCGAACCCTCGATTGGCTAAACTCTTCGTTTACCGGTAACCACATTTGTCGTCTCCCCTCACAGCCCGACCTCTTCTTTCCCCCTCCCCCCGACCCCTTCCCCCTCTCTCCCAATTTTCTCTCCCCCCCGCCCGCCCCCTCTCCCGCGGACCCACTCCCCGCACCACCCTCCTTTCCTCTTCCTTTCCGCCCATCCCCCGCTGGGTGCTACCAGGTTTTGGCTGCGTTGCTCCGAGTGCTCCGGTCCGCTCAGTCGCCATCGCGTTCGCCTCACTCTCCAGCGACTCCGTGCGACAGCATGCGACCGTTTCTTGCTTGCGACGCTGTCGCCCGCCGTCGGCGTGTGCTCGTCCGTCGAGGTCTTTGCAGGCGAGACGGAAGCCGCGGCCGACGGCCACCTGGCTCCGCCGCATCTCCGCCATCTCCTCGCGCCAGCGCAACTTTCCGCTCCGCTAACCCCGACCGGCGCATACCCCGCGAAGAAGAGTCCGCCGAGCAAGGAAGACTCGGCGCGCAGCTCACGGTCTTCGCAGGCGACACGAGAGAATGGCGCGGCGCGAACCGACGCGAGCCGCGGCGGAATCCACGGTCCCCCTCAGCCGCCCCTAACTCGAAAGAGCGGGGAAATTTCCTGCGTGACCCCCGCCGCTGCGGTCGCCAGCAATTCCTGTGTTACTGCAGCGCGGATCCACTCTAATAACGAGGGTGACTGTAAGGGGGATCAGCAAGCTAGCCCTTCTTCTAAAGGAAACCGTTTCATGCGTTCGATCTCCTCTCTTCTCGCGTCGCTTAGTCCCAAGCTCACTGTCCGTTCCCCGCCAGCGTCACCCGAAACCTTCGCGAATGAGCCCGCGGCATCGCCGTTACCTGGTAACCGGCCCACTTTGACGCCCGGTCGTTCGCCAATCGCCAGCAAGTCCCCGAAAAGCCCTCGTACTGCGGCGTGTGGCCGCCACGCGCCGAACCCCGCACACCCTCCCGCCACGTCACGCGGGCGGTCCGCCGCCGCCGTCGGCGCACCAGCACCTGTGCCTGCTCCTTTGTCATACGCCCAAATCCCTAAGAGCCACACAAGTCCCCCGACAGTGTTTAAGGACGGGGAGGTTAAGACTGGGGGAGTTAAGAGCAGGGGAGGCCTTCCTAAGAGCCCCAGCGGAATCGGCGCCGGAGGAAGCGGGGGACGCCAGCCGAAAAGTCCAAGCGGGGAGCGCGCAAGTGGGGAGCGCGCAAGTGGGGAGCGCGCAAGTGGGGAGCGCGCAAGTGGGGAGCGCGCAAGTGGGGAGCGCGCAAGCGGGGAGCGCCGTCTGAGAAGTTCAAGCGGGGAGCTTGCGAGTGGCGGAGGGGGAGGCCTTCCGAAAAGCCCCTCCGGAATCGGCGGTGCGAGTGGCAGCCAATCGTGCAACGATCGGTCGCCTGTCAGCGGCAGCGTCGGCCGTTACAGCAGGGGAATGACGCCGGCTGCGGCGGCGGCCGCGACGGCAATTGCGCGGGTTGACGCGGGTGGCGGAAGCAGCGGGAGGAACGGCGGGAGAAACGGCGGGGTGGGACCGAGACCCGGCAGTAGCAGCAGCCAGAGCGGGAGAACCGCGCGCGTGGGTACGCCTCAGAGTAGGGGGAGCACGCCGCCGCAACTGGGCGCGTCGAAGAGCTTCGGCGGAGCTTGTTACATCGGCGAAGCTGGTTACATGGGCGGAATGGTTTCGCCGGTCGCGCAGGCGACGACGACTTGCCGGCGAGGAGGCAATTTGGTCTCCGCCCGACCGAGCGTGGCAAACGGAGGCGTGGTTTGCATAAGAGTGAACGACGACGGACCTGTAACGCGTACAGGCAGCAAGAGTAAAACGGTGAAGCGCAGCGCTAGCGCGAATAGCGGAAACGGCTCGCGGAATACCCCTGGTGCTCTGGCTGTAGCGGCGGCTGTAGCCGCAGCAGCTGGGGGAACCGGGGGGAGTGCGGGGAGCGGCAAGGCGGGGGGGAGGTTGCTCCGCGCATCTGCTTCTGCAAGTCACGCGGAAACAGAGATCCAGGTCAGGCGTTCCGCCAAAGCAGCAGGTTCGGCGGGGGAGGATCACGGCGTTGACTCGCTACGAACTTCGTGGCGAGGTTCGGAACATGTGGTTCGGAAGAGGCGGGGTCTGCGCCCGCTGCATCTTGAAATCCCCGCGTGCGCGGAAGAGAACGAAATTAGGGTTGCGGAAACCTGCAGAGCGAGACTGGGCGGGCTGGAGGTTGTGCGGGAGATGGGCGAGGGGGACAAGGGGGAGTTGGGCTGGGGGTTGCGCGGAGGTAAGATTTCCGCCAAGGGGGATTTGGGTCCGCTTACCCCTGGTCGCTTGATGATGCTGGAGAAATTTGGGCTGGCTGCGGGGGGGTTGGCGGAGAGACGGGCGGAGAGAAAGGCGGGGAAAACTGCGGAGATGAAGGGGGAAAGTACGGCGAGGGGGGAGGGCGAGAGAGGCTGGGGGAAGGAAAGAAATGGGGAGACGCGCAGGAGGGTTGCGCCAGTAGGGGAGACACGGGCGAATGAGAGAAAAGGGGAGCCGAGGCGAGGGCGGGTAAGAGAAGAGTCAGACTTCGGTAGATGTAGATATGCTGGAGAGGAGAAGGGGGGGAGGAGGATTGGGGGCCGAGAGACGGAGTGTGAGGGAAAGGGCAGGGAGGAATGTGGAGAAAGGTGGAGGGAAAATCGTGAGGGGAGGTGCAGAGGAGAGTGGGAAGGAAGGGAAGGGAGGCAAGGGCTGCGGGATAGGGAGAGGAGGGAGTGCTTGGATGATGAAAGTGATGAGGAGAGATGTAGGAGGAGACGTGAGTGTTCAAGTAGCAAGGGGTATTCTGGTAGGGATGAGTGCTTTAGCAGGGGTGGGGAAGAGAGAAGACAGAGAGAATACGGCTGTGCATGGGAGAGGGGGGCATGGAATGATTTGTATAGCAGCAGCGAGAGGGAAAGAGAGGGTGAGCGAGAGGGGCAGTGGAGGAGACAGAGAGGAGGAAAGGAATGTGGGTACGAGCCGTGGGGAAAGAGAGATTTGATTCGGCATGCGAGCGACACTGGGAGGGGGCGTGCAAGTAGGTTACACAGATGGGACGAGGAGTGGGATGATGAGGATGATTGGAGAGAGAGGGATGGCGACTTTGACCGAGATGCTTATCGGAGCTACAGTACAGGTCGTGGGAATCTGGCATACGGTAAAGAGACAGCTTATAGTGAGCCGTCTGATGGTGAGAGCGGCCGGCAGGAGGGAAAAGGGAGAAGGGGGGGAGAACGTGAGGGTGGTTGTGGGAAGGATCGTGGGTGGAGCAGCCACAGGAGTGAGAGTGAGAGTGAATCGGCCAGTGTGGAGGAAACGAGAGAGAGATACACTAGCAGGAGGCGAGGCAGAGAGAGTGAAGACAGATCTGATAGTTCTGATGACTCTGCTGACTCTGAGGGCTCTCATGAGTCAGAAGAGATACTTAGAAGAGGCAGTCGAAGAGTCAGAATAGAAGACTTAGAAGAGGCAGTCGAGTCGAAGGAATGCGCCTGCCATTCCTTCCAAGGAAAAGGTGGGACCTATGACACGTGTGAAGACGCCAGGGAGGTTGAGGATTTGGAGGGTTTGGAAGTGGAAAGTGAGGAGGTTGAGAGCGAAGGGGAGGGAGACAGGGGGTGGAGGAACACCAAAGGTGGTGGAGAGAGCTCAACGGAGAGTAGGGAACGGGAGGCACAACCAGGCAGGGGAAATGTGGATTTTGTGTGCCGAAACAGGGTTGCATTGACCAATGCTTAAAACCCTTCTGAATATTGTTTATGTTATATGCATTTCGTGTGGAGAACACGTTTACGAGTAGTCCATATCGTATAGGGAAAGTACATCCGCGCTCAGTATTAGGGTCCCCGCTATTACGTACGGTCAGTGGAACACAATAGACAATCAGAATTAGTGAGTTCGTCACACGACTAGTCAGTCGGGTCGGGTTCCACGTTAAGTCAGTGACTGCTGGTAAACATTTCCACGAATGGTAAGTGGACGAAACCCCCGCCCATTTTGGGCAATTTTTCAAACCTAGAAATTTAATAATGATAGAGTTAGAGAGTACATGCACATATACCTAAACGTTGTACCCTCTAGGAGGTTACCCTATACAGTCTATACAAACATGATCAATAGACATGTTTGACACACCCCCTGGACTGCATAGGGGAATGTCCTAGATAAGCAGCTCAGGGCGGCACTACTAGTCCAGCCTCTGAGACAAGGGTCTAAAAGACCAGTCAGAAGGAGTACAGACAAGACAAGAACAAGTACAGGGCGGCACTACTAGTCCAACCACTGTGAGAGGACACAAGTCCAGTCTGAGTGTACACATATATATAGGACAGTACAAAGTCAAGGCCCGAGTAAGTGAGCGACTACAGGAACCAGACCAAGCTGTACACAGTGCCGCTGATGATCTTTAGGCGCAAGCGCCTTCGTAAAGATATCAGCTGTGTTGGCACCGGAGGCCAAGTGTACTACGCGAGCCTGGCGACGCTGCTGTAGCTCGCGCAGGAGGAAGTACCGCAGCTGGATGTGCTTCGCTCTACCCTCGAGTCGAGGCTCCTGACACAGGAGGATCATGGCCCTGTTGTCAGCGTACAAGACCGGGGCAGAGCTAGGCCGCTCACCTAAGTCAGTGAGCAAGAAGGTCAGCCAGCGGAGCTCCTGTGCCGCCATGGCACCGGCGTAGATCTCAGCCTCACAGCTGGACTGGGCAACAGACGAGGAGCGGGTAGCTCTCCACGAGACAGCACCTGAGCCAAGGCTAAAGCAGTAGCCCTGGGAAGACCTGAGCGTCTCGGCGTCGTCTGCCCAAGAAGCGTCTGTGTGTCCAGTAAGGACCACTGGCCTACGTCCGCCTAGCACTAACCCCATGCCCGATGTACTTGCAAGATAACGCAAAACCCTCTTAGCGGCAGACCAGTGCTGAGGTCGGTGTCTGCCTGTGGCCACGAAACGAGCCAGGATGCTGAGAGGGTATGCGAGATCTGGGCGAGTGCAAGTCATCAGGTACATGAGGCAACCCACTAGCTCAGCGTAAGGACCACTGGGATCTACCGACTCCTCAGGAACTGGAGCGGAGAGTCTGTGGTCCAGAGGAAGAGGGGTGGGCTGTGCAGAGGAGAACTGAAGGCCGAACCTCTGAAGGACCTGGCGCACCAAGTGTGACTGAGTCAGGGTGATGGTGCGCGCGGCTCTGTCTCTGGAGATCTGCAAGCCAAGGTAACGGCGCAGCTCTCCAAGGTCAGTGCAGGTGTGTCTCTTCAGCAGCTCTGCCTTCACGGACGCCAGTGCGTCCCTGTCAGCAGTGGCAAAGACCAGGTCGTCTACGTAGACAAGGATGTAGAACGGAGTCGGGCCAGCACGAACGAAGAGCGAGGGGTCTGCAGAGGACGGAAAGAACTGCAGGTCAGCAAGGGTAGCACGCAGCGTGTCGTGCCACTCACGAGGCGCCTGGCGCAGGCCGTAGACTGGACGCCGCAGAAGCCACTGGGTCCCAGGGGGGAAAGTGCCAGTAAAGCCCTGAGGACGACGCAGGTAGACCTGCTCGTGAAGGCTGCCCTGAAGGAAGGCAGTGGAGAAGTCGAGGGAGTGAAGCTCGTAGTCCCGCTGAGCCGCTACGTGTAACAGAACCCGAAGAGTAGTCATCTTCGGCGTAGGAGCGAAAGTCTGAAAGAAGTCCACCCCCTCGCGCTGACTGAAGCCTCTAGCCACGTAGCGCGCCTTGAACACAGGCGGCTCTCCAGGAGGGCGCTTCACCTTGAAGAGCCAACGGCCATCGACCACGTTCACCCCAGGTGGGGGAACTGCGTCGACGAAGGTGCCGGTGGATCTCCAAGATGCCATCTCCTGTTCCATGGCAGCTATCCACTGAGAGGCCCAGGGTCCCGAAACCGCCTCAGCGTAAGTACGAGGGGTCGGGATGTCGAAAGCGTCTGGGTCACCCTCAGGGACTAGCAGCATGGAACAGAGATGGGGAGCAGCCTCGGACAGGAAAGCCAGCTCAAACTGGCGGTCCTCCAGGACGTCACTGCCGAGGGCAGGAGCACCCCCGACAGACGGAGGACAGGCAGGGTCAGAGACAAGAGCGGTGGCGTAGTCAAGGCGGCAGGTAGAGGCGAAGTCAGCGACCGCAGCGACAAGGGCGTCAAGACTCGACACTGGAACAGACGGGTCGGTAACGAGAGAGGCAAGGACCCGAGGAACAAGAGGGCGAGCGGCACGAAAGTAGTCAGACAGAGGAGGAGACGCAACGACAAGAGAGGACGGAGGAGGAGACGGGAGGAGGGGAGGACGAGACGCGTGGGACCGGAGCAACATAGGGTGAGAGCGCGGGACGGGGGATACAGGACGAGCACGGGAGGGGCGGCGAGACCAGACGTGAGAGGGGGGCGTCGGGTCAGGAGACAGAGGAGGGGACACTGGTGGGGAACGAGGGGGAAAACGAGCCGGGGACGAGTCCGGCGGAGGGAACACGGGGCCGTTGACGGGAAGAGGAGGAGACGGCAGGAGAGGAACAGGCACAGGGTCAAGGGACGGAAGGCCGAGCAGACGGAGGGCGGACACCGGCGGGGACTGCTGCTGCGGCGACACAACACCAACGCCAGGGCCACAAGCTGCGCGACGGAGAACGCCCGAACCCTCCACACCGGCACCCCCAGAAGGGACACACCCAGAGCCCGAAACCCCGCCAGCACCGGTACCACCCCCAGGCCCGCCGGGACAAGCCACGACAGGAGCCCCGGGACTAGTACCCACCTCAACGCCAGCACCCCCAGAGTCCACAAACAGCGGCAGCGACGACGGCGGCGGCGGCGGCGGCGGCGGCTGCAGCGACGGCCGCGACGGCGGCGGCGGTGGAGACGACGGCTGCAGCAGCTGCGGCGACGGCGGCTGCGGAGGCGGTGGAGGAGGAGACACCGGGGGAGGGGCAGACGGCGAGGACTGCGCCGGAGGACTACCAGAGTCAGAAGACTCGTCGACCGGGACGACCGACGGGAGGGGGGTGACGTGAGACACACCAGAGGGGGCCGGACGGGGGGGCGGGGGGGGGGGAGGGGCAGGGACCACCGGGGAAGGAGGGACCAGGAATAGGGGGGGAGTAACCGGGGGACCACGGTGAGGGAAGCGGCGGTAGAAGGAGACGGACTCGTCAAAGGTGACGTCGCGAGAGTGAAAGAAGCGGTGGGACGGCGGGTGGTAGAAGTGCCAGTCGGACTCGTCAAGGGGGAAACCGAGGAAGACGCAGGGGAGGGTGCGGGCAGTGAGCTTGTCCGTGCCAGAGGCACGAACGTGAGCAAGGCAGCCCCAGACGTGGAACGCAGACGCGTCACCAGGGGACCCGGTCCACAGAAGGGTCGGCGAAACCTGCGGCCGCTGGGGGTGCGGCCACAGGTTAAGCTGGTGAGCGGCGTAGCGCACGGCGAACGGCCACAGAAAATGGGGTGCACCAGCGTGGATCATGGAGGTGCGAGCTACCTCCATGACCAAACCGATGCGTCGCTCAGCGACCCCATTCTGCTGTGGGGAGTCCGGCAGGGTAAACGTCTGGGTGATGCCCTCCGCACGACAGAAGCGACCAAGGACACCTGAGGCAAACTCGCCACCCCGGTCGGAGTGGAGGCGCAAGGCAGGGAGACCGCGATGGACACGAGCAGAGACAAGCCAGGGGATGAGGGCGTCAGGCACGTCGGCCTTCCGCTCCAGGGGAAAGACTGTGGTGTAGCGCGTGAAGTCGTCGACAAGCACTAGGAAGAAGCGCTCGCGACGCGGCCCATGGACCGGGGCTGGGCCCCAGACGTCCATGTGCAGAGTCTGCAGTGGTGCGGTGGTAGGGGGAAAAGAGGAGGAGTGAGGGGCACGGCGGAGCCGGCCCTCGACACAAGGCGTGCACTGGGGGGCGGGGGAGGAGGGAAACTCGGGGAACGAACCGGGGAGACCAAGGACGAGACCGTGCTGGGACATGTGACGCAGACGCGGGAGTGCAGGGTGACCAAGGCGGTGGTGCCAAAGGAGAGTCGGGTGAGTGAGGGACCGACAGGAGCACGCAGCAGCAACCTGGGTGGACGCAGCTACCTGGGGGGAAGACCCAGCCGGGGAAGTCGCGGTGTCAAGTGTGAACAGGCCGGACACCGGGTCCCGGGGGAAAGTGGACAGGTGGGCACCAGAGGCGGCCTCGGTACAGACAGCATACCGATCGTGACCAGGGAACGTAGTGGTGACGCCAAGGTCCTGGAGGCAGCCGACACCAACTAGGTTCCTGGAGAACGAGGGGATATGCAGACCGGTGAGCGAACCTGAAGGAACCGCCGGACAGGGAAGGGCGGTGGAACTGCGGGCAACGACGGGACCACCGGAGGGGTCAGCAAGAGTAACTGCGGCGGGAACAGGCAGCGGCGTCAGCATCGTGGAGTCGCGGAAGAAACACCGAGAGGCGCCAGAGTCCAAGGTGAAGGAAAGCGCAGCAGTCGCGCAGGGCGGCAAGGAGGCAGTGGAAGCACCGAGGCTAAGCAAAGCAGAAGAGCCTACGCCTGACGCAGCAGGGGAGTCTACACTAGGCACAGCTACACTAGTCAACACGGGGTAATAAGAGGGAAGCACACTAGAGTCATCAGCATACATCACATGCAAGGCTGCTACAATGGCATCCATGTCCAAGTCAAAAATCCGAATGCTACGCCTAAGCAAGCTGTGCCAGTCCGGGAGGTCGGGCGCCGGGCCAAAGCGCTGACGGAACAGGTCGTCCAGACGACGAAAACAGCGAGGAGTGGAATGACCGATCTTACCGCAAACGAAGCCGCGGCGAGGACCGGTCTGGATCTGGTACT